TTTTTTTTTTTTTTTTTTTTTTTTTTTTTTTTTTTTTTACCTTGATTGTGTAGTTTAAGATAAAATTTTTATATTGTAAGTTAGGAATATTATTGTACTATTTTTCTTATAAATTTTGTAACCATTTTCGCAATTTTTAAATAACTAGTTTACCCTTTTTACTTTTACCAAGCGAAGCGAGAAATAAAAACTAACTCCATCACTCTTTATTAGCTTAGAAAAAAAGTAACGTTAATGATTCCGTCTCAAATAAAGTATAAATAAATAAATTTGTTCATAAAAATAAAAATTACAAGCAAACCCAAACCAGACGAATAAGAAAGCACAAGAACCCCCCTACCCTCACGAATTATATGCTTTTTTGTCTCCCCACCCCCCTTCAACTTTCTTATTGTTGATTCCCCCCTCCTTCTCGTTTATCTTCACAATTCGTGCTTATAAGGAGGGTTGAATGCTGACACCCTATAGGTGGCGCTGTCGCTGATGCTTGGGTACGAATGGAGTGAGAAAGCAATTCAACCAATCAGAAGCAACCGCGATTGTAGACGAGACCACCCCGTTCGGCTGCGAAGCTCAGAAAAAGTGATACTCTTCAGCAAAAAATAAAATATAAAAAAAACAAAACACAAGAAGAAAAACTAACTTAATAAAAAAAAAAATATTCGAGGTTTTTGAAACGAACAAAAAAAAAGAAAGAAATTCTTTTTTAGTTTTTTGTATTTTATTCTCGAGTGTTCGACAGGTTTTTCGGCGTGCAATCGGTCTTCGCGCCCGTTTAGCGCAGAAACGAACCAACTCGCATGCTGTGACAGCAGACGATTAAAAAAAAAAGTTTTACTAATTTACACTCCCCCGATGAGATTCGAACCTTCAGAATTGGGGATGGCGTACCACCCCTTTCTGCTGCCGCCCTTACCCGGGCCGCCCCGGCACAGTGATTTTAGTATGAACTCAATCCTAACGCCGCCCCATCACTACCTACCGGCGGCAGCTTTCCACTCATTGCCACCGTCGCATCTTTTTCCGAAGCCACCGCTCACTGCTGAGGATGTGTTGGCGCCCCATCATTTACGCCCTACTTTGAGACCCCCCATGGAGCCCCCTGAAGATGATGGTGTGAAAGATGATCCGAAAGTAACTTTGGAATCAAAAGACCTCTGGGATCAGTTTCATCAACTGGGGACAGAAATGGTGATTACAAAATCTGGAAGGTAAGTTCATATTTTAATTTAATTAAAATTGTCAAATAACTTTAAATGTAATTCATTAAATATAACTCATCAAATATAACAATATTAAATTGCTCTTGTATATTGCTTTTAACATAATTAGTAGTGCAATTATTCATTGTATTGCTGGATATTTATTTCAAAGGTATGACGAGACATTGTGTCCTGTCGCATTTTTGTATTCTTCAAATTTATAAAAAAAATTTATTCGTTTTTGAAGAGTTTCAGAGCCAGTAAAGATTTAAAATGTGTGGCATTACATATAACCCGGGAAGTGTTAGCTAAAACGAGGGACTATCACTTTCATTGGATTGAAAATTTTTAATTTCTTGCAATTTTTATTTATTTGACTATGGTCTTCCAATAAAACCTTCATTTATAAAAACCAGTCAAGGAGCTTTAATCTAACAAAATACTTTAGTACATGAACTCATAATAAAATGTAAATATAAATAACATGAATACGATAAGAAATCATTAATACCCGAAGTCAAATGCTAAATATAATTTTTTGAATTTACATTATAAGTTTTAAATCATTTCAAAAATAGAAAACATTTTAAAACAAGCATTTCAAAAAATTGCGAATTATTTTAAGTTTTTATATCAATTTCAAATAATATCTATTTGTTAAAAAAAATTCATAAATAATATTTTTGCAAAATCAAAACATTGCCATTTTATGTACAATTGCTTACAACAGTGTCAAACACAGCTATTTTGCTTTTCTGTCGTTTTTGCATGCTGGAAAAATTGTCATTACAAAACTTTAAAATCTTCATTTTAAAATAAATGCGATTAGTTTCTTCATAGTTGACCTAAATATCTACTTTTAAAAATTGATACCTTAAAGAAATCCCTATATCAAAATAAACAATGAGTAAACAACGCATGTTCGTGTAAGTTGTTTATGCTTGTTAAAGACAGCTTTTTAATACGTTAAAAAATAGGATAAGCAGAATAATTAAATACAGCAGTTGAGTTTTGCTTTACCTGAATATCTACTTTTAAAAATTGATACCTTAAAGGAATCACTATATCAATATAAACAATGTGTAAACAACGCATGTTCGTGTAAGTTGTTTATGCTTGTTAAAGACAGCTTTTTAATCTCTGTTATTCATTTTTTAAATACATAAATAATGAAGATAAAAAGAAAAATTAAATACAGACGTTGAGTTTTTGTCACCTGGATATGTAATTTAAAATTTATATCTTTAAGGAATCACAATATTAAGATAAGAAATGTGTAAACAACGCATGTTCGTGTGAGTTGTTTATGTTTACCTGATATGCAGAATTATTAAATAGCCATTCTCTAATGAAGACGTAGAAATTTTCCCTTTTTTTTTTATACCTAAATATCTACTTTTAAAAATTGATATCATAGAGGATTATTATATGGAAATATATAATGTCTAATAACATATTTTTTAATACTTCTGCAAATTGCAAATACGTTTCAATTATTAACTCATAAAGTTCTTTAATCATTTTAGCAAGTCAAAAATCATAATATACGGAATTTTAAACTAAATGTTTTCGAACACATAAATTTGTCAAGTTTGTCATTTGTATAGCTAAATATCTATCCGTATTATCTAAGTAGACCATAAGCGAATAAGTCTTAGTTTTATGCTCAGATTAATGCTCATATGTTGTAAATGTAGATTTTTTAAGGATTTTAATAGTTTTTTTTTTAAAAATATAATCTACGTATTAAAATGATCGATTTCAAACAGATGTGTGAATTCCTCCTTTATTGACCTGAATATCTATTCATAAAAATGGATATCCTCTTATCTCATCATTGCTATCTCATTTGTTATCTCTACTACCTGAATCTCTAATTTATTCAATCGATAAAAGAAGGCAGTGAGGAAATAAATAATCGTTTGATGTTCGTGTTATAAGCTTCCCCAAATATATATTTTAAAGCTTTAATAATCCTCTAAAGATTATTGAAAAGCTGATGTATGAGATTTATGATAATTTTTTCGAACAAAGGTGTTCAGTTTCTCCTTAGTTTTCCTAGTATCTGTCAGAAAATTTTAAAAAAAATTTAATTAATTGAAATTTAAAATTAAATTAAAAAAATAAATTACTTGAAGAAAATTAAATTGATTGAAAATTAAATAAATTAATTGAAAAAAGAAAATTAAATTAATTGAAATTTATCAGGAAATTTGATATGCTGCACCATTTGAATCGATCCTTTAAAATCCAATTGAATGAAATCATTTTAATACTGGAGAGATCAGTTTCTTTTCTGTGTCCCAAGTTGTCAATTTTTGGAGAATTAACTTAATTTAAATTTATTTAGAAAGATGACATTCTGAATTTTAATATAATCATTTTAAAACAAAGGTGTTCAGTTTCTCCTTTCTTTTTACAGCATCTATGCGTAGAAAATTACTTTAATTAAAACTCATTAGAAAAGATGATATACTGAACTGTTCATTTCATTTAACTGAATCATTTTAAAATGAGGTGTTCAGTTACTTTTTTGTTTCCTAAGTTATTTATTTGTGAAGACTTGATTTAATTGAAGTTTATTCAAAAAAATGCCACACTGAATTTTAATGTTATCACTTTTGCCCAAGTTGTTTAGTTTTTCTTTCGATTCCTAAGTTTTCTATTTTTATAGAATTTATTTAATGTAAATTCATTCATAAAGAAGACAAACTAAACATTAATGTAATCATTTTCAAACATTGGTGTTCGGCTTCTTCTTTGTTTTCAAAGTTCTTTATTTCTGGAGATTCGATTTAATTGAAATTTACTAAAGAAAAATGCTATCATTTTAAACCCAAAATATTTCGTTTCGTTACTTCCTAGTATCTATTCGCTGAAAATTGATTTGATTGAAATGCACTCAAAGATAACAGCCTGAACTTTATAACTATTTTTAAACAAAGTTGTTCAGTTTCTCTAATCGAAGAAAACTGATCCAATTGAATCAAACAAATTTGTCCAGTTTCTCCTTTGTTTTTTTAATATCTAATTGAAGAAAACTGATTCAATTCAATTAAACAAAGATGCTCAGTTTTTCCTTTGTTTTCTCAATATCTATTTGAAGAAAACTGATTAAATTGAATCAAGCAAAGGTGTTCAGTTTCATCTTTGTTTTCTTAATATCTTTTTTTGTAGAAAACTGATTTGATTGAAATTAAGTAACAACAAAAAAAATAATAATAATATACTGAGCTTTGACTTTGTCCTTTTCTTATTAAATTGCCCACTTTTTTCTAAGCATCTCAAGTCATTAATTTATAGAGAATTGATTTAATTGAAGTTCATTAATAAAGGGGACATGCGATCAATTTCAAACAAAGATGTTTAATTTCTCCTTTGTTTCCTAGTATTTTTTTTTTTTTTTTTAGAAATTTGATTTAATTGAAATTCACGCAGGAAGATGATATCCTTCATATAATCATTTTCTCCTTTAATGTTCTGTCTCTTATCTGTTTCTAAAGTAATATATTTTAAGTGAATCGATTTAATTCAAGTTCGCACAGAATTTTAATTAAATAAAATATTAATCAATTATTAATTATGTTTGATATAAATCAAATATTAAATGCCAATTGACTTTGTTTTCCAAATTCACACAACCAGCACTTTAATTAATTTTTAAACGAAGATGCCCACTTTTTCATATATTTTTGAAGAAAACCGATTTAGTTAAAATTCAGCCGGAAAGAAGGTATACTGTCCTTTGATTTTTATAATTTTCTCATTGAAGTATTCAGTTTCTTCTAAGTATCCAAAGTCATTCACTTCTTGAGAATTGATTCAATTGAAGTTCATAAATAAAGATGACATTTGAGATTTTTCAATCAAAAATATACTGTTTCTTCCTTGTTTTCCGAGTATATGTTTAAAAAAAAAAATGATTTAATTTAAATTCATACAGAAAACTGATGTCTAAAACTTTCATATAATAATTTTCAAACTGAGGTGTTTATTTTCTTCTCCATTTCTCAAGTTTTCTATTAGAGGAGAATCGATTTAATTAAAATTAATTAAGAAATATATCAGCCTGAACTGTTAATATAAGATGTTCAGCTTCTCTTTTGTCTTACTGATATCTATTTGTAGATAATTGATGTAATTGAAATTCAGCCTTGAAGATAGAAGGATGACATACTCAACTTTGATTTTATCATTTTCTTATTGAAGAGTTTAATTTCTTAGAACCTCAAGCTTCCTAATTGTGAAAATTTGAGTTAATTAAATTTAAATCAGAAAGATGACATACTGAACTTTAATATAGTCATTTTCAAAACAAGCTGTTCAGTTTCTTCGCTTTTTCTTTTGTCATAGGTTTGTACAGTAACTTGATTCAATGGAAATTCATTCAGACAAAACATGAATAAATCATTTAGTTTAGTAGTAAAATCGGCAATTTTAAAATTCACTCTCAATAAATTATTTAATTAGTATTAAATCCATCCTTTGAAACAATTAGCTTTGTTCTGCCAAAAAAGCAATTTATCAAAATTAGTTTTATCTAAATTCATCCGCTTTTTAACTGTTTAGTATATATTTCCTGATTTCATAATTACGTTGTGTATTGGGAAATATTTTTGCTGAAATTGCAAGTGCCGTAAGGAGTGTACCCCGCTAAATACTATTACATTGAAGCATTAACTGTTTAGTAGGCTCTCTCTGATCGATCAATATCGCCAGCCAAACGTTGCGCAAAGCGTGGAGGTAGCCGGTTCGAATCCCGTTGTTACCCTGGAAGTATGTAAGTGTTGTCCTTCTATTTGACAAAGGTTTATGGGCCAACAAATCTACAAATGTATGAAATTCCAAAAAATACAGTTTAACCGAAAATTTGCAAATTTTAGTTGGTAGCTCTCTACCGTTTTTTGAAATATTTCATCGAATCCTGAATAGTTTTCATCTCTGTATAACGTTGAATACGAACATCTTAGATCTTCAAAATAAATGTTCAAAAGAAAATTATTTTTACT